AAACCCGTGAAATGTCATCAAGGTAGTTATCTAAACAACATCTGCATAGTGACACCACCAGTCAACATGGCACCTCAAATTGGAGAAATTTCTCAAGGTCTTACCCCTAGATGAAAACCTACAAGTAGTCAGTGGCTGCTTAAAGGGAGATAATCAGTATACTCCAGGGATGAGCCCTCTAAAGGCCATCCAATCTCAAGTGGTCAGCCATAAGCACATGTTCATATAAGCAACACTAAATGGGCCCAGCAGGCTTTGTGGTGGTGGGAGGGTAAGATGGTAATAATTTTAGAAGAAGTCATGAACTTGAGAGGGAGTTTCAGGGACACAGGAGAAGTTGGAGGAGAGAGAGAGGCAGGGGTGGAAATGGTGTAAATACAGTACTCATGTATGAAATTCTCAAAAAAAAATTTTTGAAAAACAGAAAATCAACCAATCAATGAATAAATAAATAAATCTACAGAAAACAAAAAAATTAGTTAATATATAAACAAATTGTGTTTTTAAAATCTTAAAGAATTAATCAAGCTGAGCCTGATGGTTTATGCCTATACTCTTGACACTTAGGAGCCTGAGGCAGGAGCATCATGAGCCAGCCTGAGCTATGTAGTGAGTACCAGGTCAGTCTGGGCTACACAGTAAGGCCCTGTCTCACAAGACATAATTAATTCATTAGCAGCAAGGAATTGAAGGCTGTTGCCCTCCAACAGGAACCTGGTGGACAGTCCCTGCGTACTGCTGATTAAGAGCTGATCTCTACACTTTAACAGCCAGCAGTGCACACGGCATGTTTGACATCCTCATCTATAAATTAAGGAGTCCAGCCTGGATCTGAGCTGGAGGTGAGTTGAATGGGCAGCCTCACACAGAGCCAAGATTTCCCTCAGAAAACAGTTCTGGATCAGCTCCAATGTGGAGATAAATTAGAGATGGAGGCCCCGAAGTTCAATGCCAATGAGAATAGCCGCAATATTTTTAGTTGGAAATAGCCCACCAGGGCCATAAAAATCTCAATGAAGAAATCAAACCTAGAAGGTCTGGGTTTAAGCTTTGTGACATCTCAGCAAAGTCTCCAAGAGAAGCTGGGGATAAAATACTGCCCCAGGTAAGTAAGTGAGTTGTCTGGCTATAAATGGTTGTCAGAAGAAAGAAGTTGAGAAGGCTAAAGTTGGGATGCACATGATGGTCTGAAGAAAGAAGAAAGAAGGTGGGCCTGGCAGCAGAGGACTGAAATCTCTGCTTCTTCCAAGGCTGAGGCAGAAAGATGATGAGTACAACATGGTGCACTGGGCAACATGGTGAGATTTTTGTCTCAAAACAAAGAGAAAGAATGTTGAGTGTTTAGTCCAGTGGTAGGGTGAATACTTAGAATCCAATGGTGATCGCTATGGCTGAGAAGCAAAACATTTGCCTAGAATCCCCCAGTGATGGGCTGGGGGTGTGACTCAGTGGTAGAGCACCTGCCTAAAATCCCCCAGTGAGGGGCTGGGGTGTGGCTCGTGGTAGAGCACTGCCTAGAATCCCCCAGTAATGGGTTGGAGTGTGGCTCAGTGGTAGAGCACCTGCCTAGAATCCCTCAGTGAGGGGCTGGGATGTGGCTAAGTGGTAGGGATCTTGCTTAGGTTGGAGACCCTAGGTTCAATCCCTAGTACTGGGGAGGGGTGGGGGAGTCTGATACTAGAGCTGGTCTTGGCCTCTTCTAGGATGACAACCAGGTGGAGAGCTGAGTATCTGCTAATTACCCTGAAATAGAGCTATTAAGTGCCCTCCCCTATTCCACAGCATAACCACAGCAGTCAAATGAGGTCAAGCTTACAGAAATGTCTTAGAGGACCGTCAGCAGTCTCTATGGGTGGAATAACCTCCATGGACCAATGCAGTCTTTATGGGTGAAATAACCTCCATGGACCAATGCAAGGAGTGTTGAATGTGACGTTTCAGGGATATGAGTTAGACAAGATTCCTGAAACAAACTAACTGCTACTTGAGAACTAAGCCTAGCTCACATCACTCCTATGTCTTGTCCTGCATCCCTCCTGCATGAAGGCAAATCCTTCTTTCTTGCCTGCCTTGTCCATTCTAGCCTTGTATAAACCAATTACACATCTGTCAAACTGAGATCAACTGTCAAAAATTCACCTCGTTGACAAACTACTTCTTAAGTGCCTGTTGGCATTTGCAATCTCTTGTCACTGATTACAAAAGTCATACATGTTTGAGGTGACATATATTCAATGTCATTCTTCACTGTTTACCTTAAAAAAAAAGATTAAAAATAGATTAAGGATTCATTTAAATGAATCACGATAGTCCCCAAAATGGAACATTTATTAAAATTCGGGTGCCTCTTTATGTGCCAATGTGACCTCATTACTGAAATTACTGATATTGCTATATCAAGAGAGAAGAGTAATAATAGAGAAACATGGGCCTGGAGAGACAGCTCAGTGGTTAAGAATGTGTACTAATCTTGAAGAGGACCCGAGCTTGGTTCTAAGCAGACATGTCAAGCAGCTCACAACCGTGTAAGTGCCAATGTTTCTTCCTCACTGCCATGATAAAATATCCTGACAAAAACAACTGAAGGAGCCAGGCAGTGGTGGCATACACCTTTAATCCCAGCCCTCGGGAGGCAGAGCCAGGCGGATCTCCGTGAGTTCGAGGTCAGCATGGTCTACAGAGCGAGATCCAGGACAGGCACCAAAACTACACAGAGAAACCCTGTCTTGAAAAACCAAAAAAATATATATATATATTGAAGGACTAAAGGGTTTAGTTTGGCCTGTCGTTCCAGTGGTGAGGAAGACCCAACCACAGTCAGGAAAGTCATGGCCTTGGGAGCAGGAGGCAGGCTGGTCATGCTACATCTGCACTCAGGAAGTAAGGAGTGAACAGGAAGTAAAGCCGGGTTATAAAGCTTCAAGGCCCTCCCTCAGGGACCCGCTTCCTCCAGCAATGCTCTGTCTCTTAAAGGTTCCACAAATTTCCCCCCAAAGCACCAAAAGTTTTCCCCAGAAGCTGGAGATCAAGTATTCAAACACATGAGCCTGCAGGGGAACATTTCACACTCAAACTACAACATATGGAGGTTTTTAGCTTGGTTATGCGTAGAACATTTTAGTATACCCATAAAACTAATAATAGGAGCTATTTCCAGAAAAAAAAAGAAATAAGCAATGAATGGACAGATGGATGGATGGATGGATGGTTGGATGAATGAGATAAAATGGGTTTTGATTTTTGTCTCATAGGAATGTATTACCTTAAAAAACTTAAAATCAGGATCAGGAGAGATGGCCCAGCAGTTAAGAGCACTGGCTGCTTTCCCAGAAACCTGGGTTCAATTCCCAGCACCCCCACGGTGGTTCACAAACATCTGTAACACCAGTTCCAGGGGGATCTGACACCTTCTTCTGGCCTCTGTGGGCACTGCACACATATGCAAGCAAAAACACCATGCACATAAATAAAAACAAACTTCAAAAAGACCTTAAAAATCAAAATAAAGACAATACAAAATACATTAGAAATGACCATTATAGAAATACCAAAATACAAAAAGCATAGAGAAGAAATAAATAAAATCCCATAGACTTATAACCAGAACTACCCAACTTCATTACTTTTTGAAAGGTGGAGGTTGAGATAGGGTCTTGCTCTATAGCTCAGGCTGGCTCCAAACTCATAATCTTCCTGCCTCAACCTCCCAAAAACTCAGGTTACAGATGTGCACCACTGCATCAATGACAAAATTAGGTTTGTTTTTTTGACACAGGGTCTCATGTAGTTGGGGCTGGCCTTGAACTTACTATATAGCCAAGGATGACCTTAAATTACTGATCCTTCTGCCTTTATTTACCTCTGGAATGCTGAGATTACAGGTGCATGCCACCATGCCAGGTTTATAAAGGGCTGTGAACCTAATCCAGGGCTCTGTACAAGTTAGGAGCTGAGCCATGACCCCAGCCTGGTGTTTACTGTTAAAACGGCTTGATGCATTTCTTTCCAATTGTTTCGTTTCCATTTTTGTCATAACTAAGATGCCATGGCACACAGGTTTTTACACTCTGACAAAATAGCATAAGCATTTTCCCATTACTGACATGGTAATGAAATAATTGTGTAGTGAATGATTCCAATACATCTTTAGACACTGATCATTGCCTCTGTTTCTGAATGCATCCTTAAGTCAAATTCACCAAAAAGAGACTTAGTGAATCAAAGCATAGTATTTGACTCTTTTTTTAGTCTTTGATACAGGTTTCCATATTTACTCCCAAATCCCATGTTAGCTTATGTTTTTACCAACTGCATAGAAAGCTGGTAGAGAGATATCTATATACTCATCATATACCAGTATCACGTTATATATATATATATATATATATATATATATATATATATACATATATATGTATATATATATATATATGGTAATAAGGCCTGGCCTACACACACACACATTAATATACACATATACCCATACATTCATATCTACATATTTACACACACACCATACACACAAATACATATACACATACCCACCAATATACACATATACCCATACCTACACATACATATACATACTCTGGCACTGGCAACAATAGCCAAGGCACAGAGTCAACCTGGATGCCCATAATAGGTGAATGGATATGAAAAATGGGATATAGGTATGTAGGTAGACACACACACACACACTTAAGGAGGCACACTGTTTCATCCACCCATCTAACATTTCACCCATTGACAACTGCCACTCAAATCCCTGTGGTAAGTAAGTGGCACACTCAACCTTAAGGAGACCCATTTTCATGTTCAGCAGCCAATATTTACAAGAATTTATCTTGAGCCAAATACTGCTTTGTGCTTTGAGCGGGTTATATTCCATCAATCTCTCTCCAAAAAGCTTTCAAACAATGCCTTCCCCTAAGACTTCTATATTCCAAGCTGAGTAAAAACATTGAACTTTCCTTTTGTGAAATGGCCCCATGACTACTCACTGCTTTGATTCTCTGGGAAGATAGCTGTGGTGTTCATGATTCCATACTATCTCTTTCCAGAAAGGAACCTGCCTGCAAGTCCATTGCCATGGACCTACTCGAGTTCCGTTACACGGCTTCCAAATGGAATGTCAAAAGTTGACTGCAGAGCTCCACTCAGACAACTTGCTCTTCTTCTGTGAGTTGAACCTCTTGCTCCTTGGAGGTTGTTCCATCACTGGGGTATCCAGAATAATAAGGTGCCTGAAACAGAAACCTTGGATTTGTTAGCATCATATCACAGTGACCAAATTCCTGGCAGAAACAGCTTACAGGAGAAAGGATTTGTTTGAGCTCACGGTTACAGTAGTGTCCATCATGGCAGAGCGGGACAGTTCATAGCATGGCAGGTGGGGTAAAGAGAGAAAGGGGGACAGGAAGAGGCCAGGGCAAGACACAGCTCCAAGGGCTTTACAATGATCCACTTCTTCCAACAAGTTCCCACCTCCCACTTTGCAACATCCTTTAAAGGCGTCATTGTGTTTTGACTCCACCAAGGGATCGATCCAATGATTATGTCCTTTATGGTCCTTTATTTGTCTTTATGGTCCAGTTGCCCCTGGAATCATCCTCACAGGCATGCCCAACCTCATCCCGTAGGTGCCTCTTAATCCAGACAAGTTGACATTCAAGATTAGCCATCATGGCTGCAGGCCTACAGCAGTAATCCACCTGAAGCATGAATGCACAAGAAAGCACTGTTTGGGGGAACTGGGGAGGTTGGCTCATTCAGGAAAGTGCTTACTGCCCATGCAAGAGAACCTGAATTCATGCTCCAGAACCCACAGAAGAAGCTGGGTGTGGCGGTGACACATACTTGTCATTCCCGCACTGGAGGGTCCCTGGAGCTTGCTGGCTAGCCAATATAGCCAAATTGGTGAATTCCAGGCCAGTAGGAGACTCTGCCTCTAAGAATAAAGTGGACAACTCCTGAGCAATGATGCCTGGCCTGCACACACACACACACACACACACACACACACACATACACACACACACACACAAATATACACATATACCCATACATTCACATCTACATTCTTACATACACACCATACGCACAAATACATATGCACACACCCACCAATATACACATATACCCATACATACACATACATATACATACTCACACCATACATGCTGTGGATATCGCTCTGTATAAATAAAATGCTGATTGGCCAGTAGCCAGGAAGTATAGGCGGGACAAGCAGAGAAGAGAATTCTGGGGGCAGGAAGGCTGAGTCAGGAGACGCTGCCAGCCACCGCCATGAGTACCAACATGTAAGATACTGGTAAGCCACGAGCCGTGTGGCAAGGTATAGATTTATAGAGATGGGTTAATTTAAGATATAAGAACTAGATAGCTAGAAGCCTGAGCCATTAGGCCAAACAGTTTAAATAATATAAGCGTCTGTGTGTTTATTTTATAAGTGGGCTGCAGGACTGCCGGGGCTTGGCGGGAGCTGAAGAGAAACTCTCCAGCTACACATGCACTTACTTAGTCAACATAAAAGCCCATCATGGAAGATTCTGTTCCCTCCATTTCACAGATGAGGTTGCAACTGAGGCAGAACAAGGCCACACAGTGGGCCAGAGAATGATCCACAACAGTCATGCTTTGGGTCTCAAAGGGGTGCGTTTATTATGTACGCAACAAGAAAGCATCGAAGAATAAAACAGCAGGCCACAGAAGGATAATGGCATGTCAAGTAGACACTTGCACCGTGCAGCTGAACACACAAGGAAGGTCTCATCTTAACATGCCCAAGTTCCTTGGTGAGAGCTCTAGGCAGAGCAGCATTTCCTCGGGTGAGACTTTCAAGTAAAGAAAAACAAACAGCAACAGACAGAGATAAAAATCATGAAGTGGGAAGCTCACGGTATCCAGCAGAAACCGACTGGAGTGGGTCAGGCAGTCGTCTGGAGTTCTCCACCGAGCTATCTCTCCACGGATGAACCTGTGGGTTCTCTCTCCCGCTGCAGGCACTTTCGTATCAGGAGATAACACCAGTGACCTCTGATGGAAATGGGTCACCTTCTAGTTGCCCTCGAGAACACAGTGTTTTAACTCTTGGGCTGTTTTGCTGTTCTCCTCTCTCCCTGTCACAGTCAGGGGGGTCCAGCCTATCTCTAGACACAGGGTCTTAGAGGACACTTTGAGACAAACATGCTTGAGTCTGAAGTTGGCCGGGAGGGGGAGGTCAAGGGGGGGGGGAGTTGGCAAATCCATTCCCAGAGCCAGCTTCTCAAGCAGCTCCGGCAGCACATGTCAATTTACCAATATGAAGTACACTACGGAGTTCGAATTCAGGAAGTCCGGCTCCAGTGAGACATTGTCAACTGCTGGCCGAGCACTTACCAAGTCACCGATGGTGACCGAGTGCACGTGTGCCGAGGGTGTTTACACTTCCTGCCTTCTCATGATAACTCCAGGGAGTGACACAGTCGGCTGGACTTCACCACTGAGCTTTCTCTCTGTGGCTGAACTGGCGGGTTCTCGCTCCCGCTACAGGCACTTTTATACCATGAGATAAATGCTACTAGACTCAGAGATACAAAGTTACTGGTTCAAGATCACACAGGGACTTTATCTGTCTGTTCCTTTGGATTTTTGTTTGTCTGCTGGTCTAAGATAGGGTCTTTCTACATAGCCCTGGATGTCCTGGAACTCACAATTATAGACCAAGCTGGTCTGGAACTCATAGAAGCCACCTGCCTCTACCTCCTGAGTGCTGGGATTAAGAGCATGCTCGATTAAAAGCATGCACCCCAGCCTCACAGGTTCCTTAATGGCAGCAAAGACCATGTTCTGTGAAACAATAATGACTAATGATTTAAAAGCGCGGGGGGGGGGGGGGGGGGGGCGCTGAGACTGTAGTTCATTTGGTAGAGTGCTTACCTAGCATGCACAGCCCTGGGTTCCATCTCCAGCAACACATAAAACTGGGTGTAGTGTTGCATCCCTAAAACGCCAGTTCTCACCTGTAGGTGAGTCAGGAGCGCAAGCAGTTAAAGTCCATGTGGTGGAAAGCATTCGCTATGACAGGCTGGATTCAATACCCAGAACTCATGGCGGGGAAAAGTCACCGGTAGTGACACAAGTCTTGTCATGCCAGGACTGGAGAGGCCATGGCCAGCAAGTCTAGCCTACTTGGTGAGTTCTAGGTCAGTAAAAGACCCTGTCTCAAGAAGAAGGTGGATCATACCTGAAGTGTGACCGCTAAAGTTGTCCTCTGGCTTCCATGTGCACCCACACAAAACTTCTACCTGTATACACATGTATGTATATGCATGTATATACATGCACATGAAAAAGTCCAAGGTTATCCTCAGTTATATAGCAAGCTCAAGCCCAAGCTGGTATATTGAGATCATGTCAGAAAGAAGGGACGAGGAGGGAGGGAGGGAAGGAGGGAGAGAAGGAGGGAGGAAAGAAAAAAGACTGAAGAAAGAGGAGAGAGAGAGAGAGAGAGAGAGAGAGAGAGAGAGAGAGAGAGAGCACTCGAACACACTTTAGTTCTCTCTTCAAACTGAGAGGCAGATCTGCATACACTCAGCACCATGACATCTTCGGGAATTCTCTCTGCTTGTATCACACCGTCACTGCCATGAATAGATGTTTACCTGGCATCCAGCTTAGGAGAAATGCTATGCCAGGCTCGCTTGCCCCAGTTAACACTGCAGCAATAGACTTGCTCTAATTAGCCCTCGGCCTGGCGCGAGATGCAATAAACAGAAAGGCATCCGGCTCCCCGGTCAGGTGGCTCTTACTGGATGCCTACAGTTTTCACAAGTTTGCACAGCAGCCAGTTGCCCCAGAATGTAGCAGGAACTGAGAACATAATATTCCTGTCCTCCTGTTTCATTATCACCAGCGAGGGTGTCCACATTAAAGGATCAGTGTGAAATGGACAATTCACACATCTTCCCCGTTTCGCAACAGTGTCCGGCCCTGCTGTTGCCACGGATGCTGGGCCCGCTGCAGCTCCGCAGCGCTTCCCACAACAAGAGGAAAAGGTCTCTATCAGCAGGAAGCATGTGCAGACAAGCAGGCAGCTGTGCACATGAGTGCATATGCCCTGTGCCCCATTCTTCACATGGTTTAAGGATGTCTCCAGAAGGTTTGAGTGTTCAGAACAATGGCTCTCAACCCAGAAGGACCCTGTCACAGGAGTCACATGTCAGATAGCCTGCATATCAGATATTTACATTATGATTCATAACAGTAGCAAAATTGACAGTTATGAAATAGCAACGAAAATAATTTTATGGTTGGGAGTCACCACATGAAATATATTAAAGGGTCGCAGCGTTAGAAGGGTTGAGAATCACTGATTTAGAAGCTTGGTCTCTGATGGGACAGAGTTTAAGAGAAGGTAGAACAGAAAAGACTTGGGGACAGTCTGGAGCAAGGCTCAGCTATAGAGCACTTGCCTAGAATCCCCCAGTGAGGGGCTGGGGTGTGGCTCAGTGTTAGAGCACCTGCCTAGAATCTGCCAGTGAGGGGCAAGGGTGTGGCTAAGTGGGGCCTCCCATCATTTGCCATTTTATTTGGTCATGTTATGGCATGTTCACAGGATTCAAGAGTCATGAAAGTCGCACATGCACCCCACTGTGTGACTTTTCCTGGGGAAAAGTAAACAAGTATCTTTTCACCCCAGATAGGGATTGAAGACAGAGCAAAGAAACCATTCCACCCAGGTCTCCTCGAACCAGTGAGTGTATTGGAGCTGCTCATGGAACATTTGTGAAGGGTGACTTATAAGAGCTTGGGTGACTGAAAGGTGTGTGTCTCTGTAAAAAAAAAAACAAAAACCTGCAACGCTGAAGCCGCCCAACCCCAGCCCCGCGCCCGCCCCCGCCCCCGCGCCCGCCCCCGCCCCCGGCCCCACGCCCGCCCCCGGCCCCACGCCCGCTGGGTGTGTGTGTAGCGCCACCGGTGATACATCTCCTCTCTCCAGCAATTGTTATTGCTTACCCAGCCTTGGGAAGAGACCTTGTAGATCTTGTAAAATTCAGGGAATTCCTAAGTTCTATGAGTTTCGTTTACTTCCTGAGCCTGTTTCAGGGCTGGAGCGACAAATCAGTTAAGAGCACTGGCTGCTCTTCCAGTGGACCCAGGTTCAGTTCCCATCACCCATCCGATGGTTCACAGCCATCTGTAACTCCAGTCCGGGGGGATCTGACATTCTCTTCTAGCCTCTGTGTATATCAAGTGGTGCCTATACATACATGCAGGCAAAACACTCATACACATAAGAAATTTTAAAATAAAAATCAAATTTTAAAAAGAAGCCTCTCTAGGAGAGAGTGTTTTAATATGGAAGAAATAGCTATAAAACAACCCATTTCCTATCCCTATCTCTATCTGACGCTCTAGTCCTTATCAGGGACCATGTAGACAACAACTTCATCTCTGTGCCGTAAGAACTAGTCCTCACCAAAAGACACCCCCGACAGGAGCCATTGAATAAAGCATCCACCCCAGCAATGGCAATCTGGTACTCACAGCCTGCTTGGAAGACTCAGATACCCCAAGAGAGTCACTCTTGACTTTCAAGAAACCAAAAGACATACTTGCTTTACAAAGTGAAATTCTGCCTTTACCTGTCTGTGTTACTCTGGGATGTCACGATAGGATGTTTCCATGGGAATAGGGGATGTCCAGTTCAAGTGGACTCTCCCCTTCCAGCATCATCATCCGGCTGGAATCCCTGCTTGCAGAGACTGGGGTTTATACTACTTAGCAGCAGCAGGGGCCATGAGGAAACCACTTCCCACTGCACTCCTGTGGCTATCTCCTGTCCTCCTCATCCTTCTCCATCCCCCACACCCCCCTCCACCAGCCCCCAAACTCTGAGGATGACAGGAACTAGGAGATCTGCCTCGTGACAAGCTCTCCAGCTAAGACTCTCTTGAGTTTGAAAGGCTGGCTCTCCTGCCTTCTGAACACGCCATCTTCTCTCTCCCCAGCCCTTTATTTCCCACGGGACTCAATTTGAGAAGGGTGGCATTTCCGTGGCAGGTAAGATTTAAATGCTGTGACAACTGGCGTTTTTCTTCATTTCAGTCCTGTCTGTGTTCTGATTGCAATTTTATAACATGTCAGAGGTCTCCCGGAAGGCACCAAAAGTTTATTATTTACCATTTATACTTAAAGTTATAAAATTACAGTAGGAAGTAGATGTTTTTAAAAATATTACCCAGAACACTGATGCCACTAGCTGGTTAGGAAAGCTGACCAAAAAATATATAACAGTCTCCCTGCCTCAGTATCTCAAGTTCTGGATGACAGATGTGTGCCGCCAAGCCCATCTGAATTTACCTTTTGCTCTCTCTCTCCCTCTCCCCCTCACTCCCCCTACTCCCGTGTGTGCAGGAATACACACACACACATCACTATGTGCAGATCAGAAGACAGCATCAAGTATCAGTCCTCACCTTCCCCCTTGTGACAAGGTCTCCTGCTCGCCACTGGGTATCTCACAACAGCTGGCTCATGAGTGTCCGGGAGCTCTCCTGTCTCGGCCTCCCAGCTCACCACAGGAACACTGGAATTACAGGTGTGTGCAACTGTATGTGGCTTTACACGGATTCCGGAGAGATCCGAACTCACACCCTCACATGCGTGCAGCAAGCATTTTTAACCACTGGTCGATGTCCCCCCAGCCCTTCGAATTTCACTTTTAATAAACAGATCGTAACTAGATTTATAAGGTAAAAAGTGCTGTTTCAGTACATTGCATATGTCATATTTGATCATTATATAATCAGTATGCATTGATTGACTGTATACATCAATACTCACTGTGGAATGAACAAATCAGGCTAATTAGCATGTGTACTTGGGATGTTTATCATTTGTTCGTGAAGAAAGCATTTCAATCTTTTAGCTATTTTTGAGGACCTGGGAAGATAGCTCAATCATTAAATAATTACCTCATAAGCATAAGGAGTTGAGTTTGGACCCCCCAGAACCCAATGTAAAAATCCAGACAACAATTAAATGGCAAATGGGAAGCAAAGACAGGCGGATATCTAGAAGCATGCTGCCCAGTTAGCCTTGCCTGTGTAGTAAAGTTCCCAGCATACAAGGGTCCTAGTCTCAAACACAAGGTGGAGAGCCCCAAGGGACCAGCAATTGTCCTCTGACCTCTACATGCACATTGATTGCACACATGTATCTCACACACACACACACACAAATTAAACAAACAAAAATAAGCATGCAAATCCTATGCCTGTTTTGATATATGTCAATACGTTACTAATAGCCATAGTCACCACACTATGGAGTTAAACTGGATCTCCTATCTACCTGAAATTTTGTGCCTGGGGTGGTTAGTTTTACTGGTCAACTCGACATAATCTAGAAGGAGAGTATCAGTGAGGGACTGTCTGCATGGGGTTGGCCTGCGGTCACGTCTGTGCAGGACTGCCTTCATTACACGAAGAGCATCAAGGTGGACAGCACAGTTTCACAGGAAAAGGAGGGAGCACACTGAGTGTCAGCATGCATGCATCTCTTGCTCTCCTCCGAGTGCAGATGCAATGCAATCAGCTCCTCTAGCAGCTAGAGTCTAGCTCCTGCCAATGGGATTTCCCTGCTATGATGGACTCTAACCTGTAGCTCAGGAATCATGAGCTAAAAATAGACCCTTTCTTCCCTAAATTGCTTTTGTCCAGAGTGTTTTATCACAGCCACAGGAAACTAAGACTGTCCCCATTAGTTTACATCTCCCTGTCTCCATCCAACACGCCTTTTAACTTGAATGAATGTCTAATCCACATACAATGGTGCTTATTTGCATATAATGATGCCTAATAGGAATACGATAATACATAATCTGCATAC